AAAAAAAAAAAACACAAGTAGATTATTCGTGACCAGTAATGACGAAATTGCGTGACAACAGCAACAATGGCAATATGGCCGTCCCCTAAAGATAACTTCAGATGTGCCATATTGAGCTCACGCAGCTATTCGTCTAGTCTAGTCTTGGTTTTCACGTATTGTCATCGAAGCTAAAAAAAGGAATTATTAATCCTTTTAAGATTTTAGTTTAGTTAGTTATTATAACAGCTGAAGACCTATCTTTCGACAAATTTTCAGTTCACTAGGGTTTTCTGTCTTGTGTTAAAGCAAGGGTGAATTTCTAAGCATTTGCGTGACACGATATCAAAATGGCGGCCGAGAAGGCTGTCACGTAGGTTAATAAACGTGACTTATCTGTTGAGATTTCGCAATCTAAATAAACCTTGTATGAAAATACGTACTTATACAGATGTTTATGAGCCCTCAGTAGACTACTATAAGCTTTTTATGGCAAAACCCGGTAATATATGTTTTTGTTAGCTTCCGGCCGCAATATTTGTGCCCCTCAGAGGGACACAGACATGGCGTCTCCTTACAAAGTCTAATAAATTTGAATTTAACATTTCTTTGAGTATCTTCCGCATGAAATATCGCACGGACCTGAATCTTTGCGGCACCGGTTGAATATATATCTTGACTTCATTTGTTAAATGGTTTTGATGATGTTGTGACAATGAAAACCGGCAATATGTTAAATTTGTACGCCGTATGGTAGAAGCTGGAGTAGTAATGACATTGTCAAGTCTCATATTGTAGTGACTATCATAAATTTTTTTTAATAATAAATTTTGAACACGGGAGAAAATCTGAAGATGTAATCATTCAACATATTTGTACGATTTTTTCCGAATTTTGAAAGCCATTCGCCTTGGAAGAACAATGGAATCATTAGCTCCTCACATACACTTCTTTACTGGTTTTGTCATTCCCTTTTGCATGGCACCACTTTCACTTGCTTTATCGACTTATTATCATTTGATAATCTGCCTTATTTTCAGGATATGGAGCAAGCAGAAGGTGGTGTAATATGTAAGAAAAGAGATGCCAAGCCATTTTATAGAAACGTATATTTGATAAAGAACTGTGATTTTATATGGAGAGATGGTCAAAGGTACATGCCAACACAAAGTGAATTAGCAACAATACGAACATCTCCTCGTGGACAGTACGAAAAGAAAGTAGAATTTTATCGGAGTATGTCAAAGGAAATGGTTGTGAGAAAGCTTGAAGAGACATTTCCCTACTTAAGTAATAAGAGGTAAGGAAAATCGAAATTACATTTCCTCAAGAATTTTCATTAGTAGAGCTCTTGAGCTTGTATGTTATGTTTACCCATTTCAGGTCCTGTGAAGAAATTCGAGAGAAATGTTTCTCAGTTCAAATTTCCTCTTATTCACATGCGTAAAGACGTCAAACTTACAAAAGATAAAGCTGGGAACTCTCTACAATCTAAAGAACTCTACACAATGGAAACGTGAAATGACACCGCTAATTTCTACTGTTAGCATACATGATGATCTGTAATCCTCCAATAATTTTGTCCATGTAAGGACAGTCGCATTTAGAATTTTTTTCTATGAATTACCTCTTTAGTTATTCTTGTAAAGCTGTTACTTCACGCCCCTCCAAAGATATGTCGACATCTCACGATGAATGTGCAAGAATTTGGGATGGAGAGACCATATGGAGGAACATACAGGGGAACTCAGCTTTATACATTTTGGAGGACGAGGTAACACTTGCATCACTTTCCGTCTAGATGATGAAAAAATGAGACTCTCGCAAGAATTGTAAACATAGAATTGCGAACACAGAATTTTGAGAAGGGCTGTACTTTTTAAGAGACCCACAACTTGGACATTTAAACGCCTGTCGACTTCTTGTAAAATACTACAACCACATGAATAGCTCGCGCCCCGAATCTGACATCCAAAAGAAAGGCTCGAAATCTTACCCCTTCTATGTTAAGTACATCGCTGACCCTCTCAAATAGTGTGCTGCCTGCCTCGTCAGCGAAACAGAAAGAGAGGTATAGACAGACATATAGAACGGCAAGGTTTTTTTTAGGTTTCTAAAAACATGACCTGAACTGTTCAACCCAGTACCACGCACAGAATATGTCCAGGGTTGCAGGCTGTTGACATGTCTTCCGTGAGTGAGCTTGCGGGTAGGCTTTCACTAGCGCTGCAGTACAAGCGGCGAAGCTAAGGAGATTCGAGCGAGCGAGTGAGAACTTTGTAAGGGGTTTGGCAGTCTCGTACCAGGACCCTGGCAGACCTCCTGTACTCCTGCTCAAAACACATTGGACTGCCCTCTCGCGTCACAGCGCCAATAAGAGCCTTCTCACAGGCTCTCATTAGTAAGAGGGACTCATTTGTCATCAGGCTAAACGAGAAAGTCTATTTTCATTTTCCAATTTTTCGTCTGCCTTCTTTATGACTTTTCTCCACTGACCGAGAGCCTGCCTATTGATAACAACCAAGAGTAAAAACTCATATCTTTGTTTTTTCCACGCTAAAACAGAAAAACGATTACTCTGCACACCAACACCAGCCAAAATTAAAACGTCGTTATGATGAGCTCACATCATGCGATCAGTCACAACAAGCAGCAAGTGAACTGAGTTCTTTGAGAATGAGTGGACCAGAAAAGCAACTTACCTGTTCTGGTACTAACACAAGAAACGGTTCTAGTCATCCAATTGTAGCATCAAGGCTGGCTCTTCAAGGTTTGGAAACTTAATCCGCTCCTTTCTTTAAAATTTAGGGAACGCGTTGTGTATACCTTCCTTGGGTTAATTTGGGGTTGAAAAGCGTATGTGGCGTGTTTAACAAAACAACGAATCTTTTTCTATAATTTTTAATAGCAGAGACTTCAGGAGCTGAAAATGGAGCACTGCAAGAGGTCATCAGACTTCCAGAAAATCAACAGGTACCTTTTTTATCAATTACTTTGATTTGTATGATATTCCGATTACAAGCCATGTTTTCCTCTTTAATCTGTGGTATTTTTTCTTTTGGTTGCTCGGTACAAGAAATAATTACTTTCATTCCGATGCAAAACAGCACAGGAGTCTGAAATAAGGTCACTTGAGAACTGCTTCCCCTTTTTCTCACTATTTTGTCATTTAAACATTTATTTGATTTCTTCCAATCTTTTGTGCTTCAAGTCTGGGAATGGAACTAGAAGCAGCGCCTCGTATACCACAGTCGTATTCGGGCCGACACCAAAAGGTTTGGAGAGTGATGGTCAATATGCAAATGAAAGACAAGGCTCACGCCAAGAAACCTTGCCAAATTTATTTCGGGAAACTGGTCCACATCCACCACTGCAGCAAGCCCCTGTAATGGGAGCGCCAGCCTCAGGTGAAAGTACCACCATCCCCACGTCAAGTGCAGGTAATTATGTAATAGTAAAAGGGGATGCCCCTCTTGGGGCCTGAAGCGGTAACCTTGCTGCACTCTTCTAGATCTAGGGATCCGAGCACGAACCCAAGCCAGTTTTGTTGTGTTTTTTTTTTTTTTCAAGAAAGGCATTTAACTCTCACAGCGTATTTCTATACCCAGGCACAATTGGGGCAAAAGTGCTGGAGGGTTGCCGTTGATGTATCAGCGAATGCAATTTCTCATTGTTCCCATAGATCCGTTGTGCAAAGTCTTGAATTCTTGAAAAGAGTTATCTTATTAACCGGACCTGTAAAACATGTGGTCATCTAAAGAAAGTCTTGAAAAGGAGAAAGAATTATGAGTTGTTGACAAAATCGCTCTGAAAACAGTTTCCAAATTTGGTTAATTGCTAACTCTAGCATAATGTTTATGGTGGTGAGCATTATGCATGGGTTTTATACTAGATTTTCACGGCTACTTTGTATACCTGACTTCATGGTGACAAAAAGGGAGGCCTGGACACTATGTTTTTATTGTGTCGTTTTCGCCTGGTTAGTAATTTTTATTTTTTTAGAACGTACATTCCCCCCTGGTCGATTACTACGTGTTTTATAACATACCGTATGATCTCTTCTCTAATGCCGTATCAGGAGGAGTTCCTTAACTCCTCCTCAGGATTTCCGAGCCCTCAGACCACCTTCCCCAGGCTTAGTGGACGATTTCGCCTGACGCTACGACTTGTTCTTGTTTTCACCGAGTTCAGATCGTGAAGATTAATTTGAAAGTTTACAATTGTTCTGTTCGTGGATACTATCAAGTACTTAGCTACGTGAGACGGGGAGGGAGGCACCACTGTACCCTTCTAGGGGAATCATCATCAATTATGAAAAGGGCGACAACGATTTTATAAACGCGGAAGCCCGATTCATCTATTCAGTAATCAAGAGGTTCTCAACAAATATCTGGATTCTCTCGCTTTCTTGGATCTGTTACCTACATTTTTCCTTTACTCAACGGGATCAGAAAGTTACGGTCTGTGGTTTGCCAATCAAATCACAGACCGCAACTTCACCTGGTTAGGTGGTCTCTTTGATCAACAGCTCCTGTGTTGTACTACAATGTTTATCTGTGAAGGTTTATCATACCCTCTTTTAGTTAGAATTTCTTTCAACCTTATTGTGGTTTTACTTTTTTAGGTTTGGGCCTTTTGTTGGTCTTCTTTCACAGTTTCCGTAAGCGTGCTCATTTTCCTCTGTGGCCGCCAGCCTTCTTCATCGTAAAAAGCATAGATTAGTGCGTTGTAAATAGGATCCTGATGTGTATAATGGCATTTTACATTTGTGTCACAAAGCAAGGAATGACCCATTCTTTTACAGTTTTGCCAATAAATGAATTACTAGCCATGAAGCAAAGGGGTATGCATATGAAGGCAATTATAATGGTACTAATGATAGTACTAATTATCATTTGTAATGCTTTTTTTTTCAGACGCTATCGAAAGCAGTTTATCTCAGCTACTTCGTTCAGTGGTAAGTTCGGTGACTTGTGAGGTGTAGCTTAATTTTTAGTAAATCATGAGCTGTGGAGAGAGGCATAGAAGGATGTGGAAATTTCTCCAAGATAATTGATTTAAAGAGTAGCGAATGAAGTTTTGTTAGCAAACGTTTTACAGACATTGAGCATGTTAATCATAGATAAATGGTTTTACCTTTGTGTCATCGGTAGCACATTCTGGACTTTCGACCTTAATCATGGTGTTTCTTTCAACAGTTTGATGACGGTATAGACCCCTTTCCGGATTCCCACCCTCTTTTTTCTGAATGTTATCCTGATTCTTCCTTAGGTAAGAAAGACACAATGTGGTTTCGAGGAGGCTTGTACCTAAACCACATCTACAAATGTAACGTTGTGCGATTTTTCATGCATGAATCTATGTTAACTTGTGGAGTGAATCGATGTGGAGATCCGATTTGAAAATCATGTTCCGTTAGCACGGCCTTAGGAGACTTGGGAGATCATGCCAAATTATCATCAAAATTATCAAAAATGGCGGATCAATTGGGGAGGACTTTTGTGTGGATAGCGTCTTAATTCTGTTCCTTGAAATCAGAGGATCATTGGTTTTTAATACAATCATTGTAAAGTCAAATTTTATTCTTTTCAGTGTATCCACGAGTTTACTTTAGTGTCACTTTGATTATCTCGCTCAAAGTTGTTGCTTCGTTGTGATGATTCTTGATTTCGAATAACAATCGGTAGCTTTTTGGTGAATAACCTCAACCATTACCAATCAAAACTTTCCTTGAATACAGCATTACACAAACAGAAAAGAAATATAATGCATGCGCTTTTGGTAACAGCGTCCCAACTAGCTTTTAGATGTATGCTATGCGATACATACTATTAGAAGGTGCTTTACTACGATCTAGAGTCAAGAATTATTCAACGGTCACATATGCATTTCTTTTATTGCCTTGATCAATGCTATGTTGAAGATCTGCCTCCAAATGAAGAGATTCCTGAAAAGAAGTCTGACTTAAATGCGGAAAAGTATCCCACAAAGGTAAAGATTTACATATAACAACGAAATTCATTTTTGCTGACCTCTTATGAAAAACGAAGTGCTACAGTAATATTACACAGCTACACCAACAAAGCCTGAATAATTTTTTTCAATACAGATTGAGATGCAGTCCTTTTTCTCTTGGGTCAGCTAATCTAGGCGTGCCAGCTAACGGCACATTCATGTGAAGTTTACACTAAGAAGCATACAAGAAAATTAAGAAAGATAAATTTATAAATGAACAGAATATATGATGGATGAAACGACTGCAGGAAATTTACAACAATTCAATGGCAGAAGGAAAATTCATAGTTAAAAAGGGTATCTTTGGGTGTTTGTGATTTCTTCTCCAACAACTTTTTGAATTGTTTTCCTTGGAAGAGGCGGCTAGATTTTACTGCTTCTTTGTTACCGCTTCTTGCAAAAATCAAACATTTCTGCTTTTGTCTTTCTTTTACTATCGTCGCTTAACTAAATGACTCAGTCTCCTGCAAATAATTTTTAACTCTCCCTCGTTGAATTTCGAGAAATCTTCGGTTATTTTCACAACCACGACTGTTTAGCCTCGTTCTCCAGCGCTTATTTTGGTACTAGATCTCTGAGTCGTGAGAGCTCGGAATTGAGTTATTTGTACAACAACAAAAGGCCCTGTAGCTTATGAAGATGCGTACGTTGTAAAGTCATCTCGATTCGATTTCTTTGCGATTTTTTTCTTTATTACTTCGGTTTCTTCAATTGCTTCGATTTTACTTCGGGTTGTGCGAATAAACCACTTTTGCCACCACACACTGCCTCATCCTCGAAGTTCGTTTGACAGGAAATCTTGATAAGTTTGAGCTCCCACTGACTTAGTTGCCTTGCTGATATTTTTTTCCCCGTCGCAGCACATTTCTTTCCAGAAGTAAAAAACTAGTAAATAAGCCACAAATACATCTGGAGTTTCCCTGGGTAAAGTATGGGTAGTGTAACGTACGCACCCGTGACATTACTCAATGGCTATCCGAACCATATACATTTATTTCTCGACCAGTGATTTCTGTTACAAAATTAAATTATACTCAATGTAACTACCGAAAATAAAATGACATAAACGAAATAAACGTGGCGAAATGAAAACGTAAAACACACCTGACGGTTTGGATCTTGAAAGAACGCGAGACGCAGCTTAAAGACAAACAACACCAAACTACGTAACATAAAGAAACTTCACGCGCGAACACTACAATATATATGTTGGCGCGAGGGGACTGAACCCCACCACGTGAACGGACCGGTGGCCCCAAAATTTGTTGTAACTGGTAGTGTAACTAGATTAAAAAAACTTGCACAAGTTATACGACGTAGTACAACACACGTTGTAAAAACGTAAAAAAAAAAGTGCGAATAATATTTCTGTGCTTGCATAGCAAAAGTAAGGCAGGATCTAGATGAAAATCCAGAGACGAGCAAACATTAATTTCAGTAACAGCAAATGTCTATGTTCAGTTATTTTGGACATGATAAGCCAAAGATAATTCAATTTCTATGCTTTTCTCTGTTACCAACTGTTGTGCCAGCTTGTTTCCTTCTAATTTTCGCAGATGCCAGTTTGTCTGGACTCTGAAATGGCGGATGATAATGACCACACAGGTATGTGAACCAAATTAGTCGACTTAAAGTTGAAAAGATAATAGGACCCATATTTTCCAGGTGCCTTTTTTTATGTAAAGTTGCAGCTTACTCTTTCTGCAAGGTAACAGAATTGCGAGACGGATTTGCATGTAATAGAAGTTTCCGTGAATTCCATAACAGTAGATTGTAGTAGGTGTTCTACCTTTCTTTGAATAGCAGCTGAAGTGAATGTGTGGTGCAGTGAGGACATGTTACACGAGGTGCGCCGAAAATCAAACTAAAAGAAATCGAGAACTGATTTTAACAAGAAAACTGTTGAATTTTTCAATAAAAACATCGTTCACATAAGTGCCTTTTTACCATTATAGTGCTTAACACAGCCCATGGCAACAACGAATCTATTTGTTTCTTGAAATAAAGAAGCAGAAAAAAAGAAAATTGAAACTACTAGCTAATGATCTTTCTATCGCAGGGACTTCAGGAGTGAGCAATTTTCCACCCCCTACTCTAGGATTCCACTCTTCTGAGGTAACTTTTCACTCCACGAAGAAAAATGAATTAGCTACTTTTATCTGTTACTGGCTGCTGGTGTATGGAAAGTCGTAAGATACAGTGTGAAGAAGACCAGACTAAGAGACCTGTCCCAGAATAGAAACATATATTTCCGGTAACTGAAAGTCACAGATTCAGAACTAACTAAAGAAAAAAGGAATATTTTGCTTCGAGTATGATAGCGAAGAGAGAGCACCAAGCATTATTCGTGCATTTTACTAAAATTTTACCGGAAAACATTTTTTTCGTAGGAAATGATGATATAAAATTTTTTTAAAAGAAAACTTTAATTTTAAACAAATATCAAATGTCACGGATGCAGCTCTAATGCAGCTGAGCACAGACTGGGGAGAGGTCAGCGTTTTTATGTTTCAAGACTCAACGCTCAAAAAGGCGGGCATGTTGTTAGACCGTTTATTTACCTATACCTGTATTTCATATTAGAACACCCTGTTGAAATGTAAGAATAAATTTATAAAAGTATTTGTATAATGAGCAATATTCGAGCATCGTAATGACTTAACTAGGGGAGAATGAGCATTTTAGTGTGAAATTGGAGCATCAAAAGAAGCATTTTAGTGGGAAATTAAAAGCATCGTGTTTAAAAGTCTAATGGGTTTTTTTTTAGTTTTGTACGTAGATAATCAGATGGTAGTCTCGTTTGAATTGAAATTGTTCTTGTATCGTTTAATTACAGCAAAATGGGTGTTAAATGTCGGATCACTGTTTTTTAGCCTATCATTATGTGACCTTACGAATGTTTCTTTTAATAGATATCTGACCGCTCAGCTGATAACAACAGTACGACCAGCGGTGTTTCTGAGCTTGGTCAGAACTTTTCCTCAGGTAAGAGACTGTAAACTATGGTTGCACCTTTTGTGTGAGGTTGGAAACTTACTCGAAGTATCCTCGTAAATCCTTACACGTCTGCACTGATAGGTAGTCGTTAGGACTGAGTGGAGTAAAATTCAGGAAGTAATCTAACTAATCAAACGAGTGATTTCAAGTTTGCCAAGCGAATAGTGTATGGTTATTTGAAATTATTATCATTATTTTTTTTTTTTTTTTAATCTGTAACGACCAGTGATGCGCCATAATTTCAGAAAAGACAATATACTAGCGAGAATTTACAGAACTGCACGTGCGAAGTTTTTCTTTTTTAATCTCAATGATGCTCTGCAGGTGATGTGTCGCCCAATGAAGAAGAGCAGTTTGAATTCAGTGTCATACCGGAAAGGGTTCCCTTACAGGTAAGACTTTACGAAAATTATCGTAGTTGGAAGTTTATTATTGTATAAGTGCACACCTAGTGGAATTGATATTCAGGTGGCTTTCTGACATATGCATGTTGTAATGCTGTAATTGCATTGAAATTTTTGTATGGAAATGAACCATATTGAGGGTATTGTACTACGAAATCTTATAAATATATTGATAGATAAAGAAACGATTAGATTTAATAACTTAATACTTAATAAACTGTTAAAGGAATTCTGGTTTTATCTGAATGGATCAACATACCAAGTTGCATATGATATGGTGATCATCCTGAACATTTTGTAGTGTTCGTAATGCCACGCATTTTTGTTTTCTAGGGTGGTCCCTTGTTTCGTATTAAATCTAATCGAGCGTTTCCGGAGAATTTGGAGATTGCATTGGCTATCTTCCAATTCGAGCATCCAATCACTGTTTATGTTAATGGGTGTGGCAATGACTGCCTTGATGGAGAGAATATTCCACGTAAGTTGATTCTTATTGCTTATACAATAGATGGTTTGAACTCCGGGGAAATATTAATTAAATCGTGTAGTGTGATCGTCATGGTTAGAATAGGACCAACATATTCTTCTAAATAAGTCTGCTTGGCTATAAGCTATAATCTTTAGGTCTCAATGAAACTCACTAATTGTAGATAATCATGTTGTAGAACTAGCAAAGACAACAAAATTTTAGGAGTCTATGTACATCAACACTTAACATGGATGTCTAATTTGTAGAAGACAACTGCCAATACCACATAAATGTATAATTTTAGTGTATTTTATTGTGAAAACGTGGATATTCCCAAAAGATCTACAAATTATTTGTATACTTTAATAATTAAGTTTAAGTCAATAGTTAATCATAATTTGATGGGTATACGTTTTTATGCATGTCAAAAAAAAAAAAACTTGCAAAAGATGAAAGTATGAGATATTTACTATTTTTATGCTTTTTATACTGTTTTTGGCTCTAAGAGAGGTATGAATTATCCACAATTTTGATCAAGATGGTCATTACTTTTTCTTGTCTTATTATTATAGCTTCCAATAAGCCGGGAAAGGTCAACATACTTTTAAAGCGAGCGAATGGTAAAGTACTTGGCAAAACGGAGATTTGGTATTACAATAAAAAGAAGGAGGCTATTCGAGAGATGCTTAAGGACCCGGAGCAACAATCGGATTTTTTTCGAAGTTATTCTGAGATGTTGATGGTTTGTAACAATGCAACAGCCAGTGGCACTGAAGCACAAAACCATGTAATTTGTGGTGAGCTGCGCAACTTATTAATTGTATGTAAATCTCCTGAAAACCAATTGAGTGCCGTTACATTTGGTTCAAATCCAAGGCAAATCAATCAATCAATAAAATTTTATACTTATGCATTAATTGGTAAATAAACCACTTCAGGCGACTGAAATATCGGCTGATAATGTCCGCGGCTGAGATATCGTCCGAGAAATGAAAATTTTGTTTTAATTACAGATGTCTTTCAATTTTCGTGGTTACTACCTCCTTTGAAAGCGAAGTCAAAATGTTGTCCTGTTGAGTGAATGTAGCAATAGAATACGAATGACGTTTTAGCCCACAATGAATTCTGCCGAGTTTTACCCGATATTCCTCGCTCTAGGCTTTTGTTTGTTTCGGAAGATCTTCGGTCTTTCAACGCTTGGTAACGGGTTCTTCAAACCGTTTCGAATGTTACTCGGAATCGGCTCGTGATCACAGTGTTTCCCAATTCCACTTATGGTTTGTTTCGGGTATCTCCTAATTATTTCAGAATGGCCTGTGAAAATCGAAGCTTTACTTAGCACAAATGTCGTAAAAAATGTGTTCGGCGCACTATGAAAACTTAAATGAAATTTTTTTTCCTTTGAGGAGAGAGCATTTACCGTTTGAGTCAGCGAATTTATGCCCAGTAGACGCGAAGATATATCTTTTTTTCAGTTCCTGTTGTGACACCACAAAAGATGATAATCATCTCAAAATAATTTCACAGTGGCGTCTCTGGCACGTAATTGAAATGCACTCTTCCCTTCAGAAATATCTGCACATCATGGAAGACTTGAAGAAAAATTTTATTTTCTAGAAAAGAGCGCATTTTACCATCTCAATCAGCGACAAATGCTCAAAAGAGGTATTAAAAACTGCGAAGCAATGAAGGTCAGAAATACGATACCGCGAGTTTAATAGTGACCGTATCAAACGGTGAAATGGCGGAATATCCCACAAAAGGGAATGCCTTTCTGTACGAAACAAGTCTTACAAAAATGGAATCGCAATGAAATAAGAAAATAATATATGATTAACTGGCAAAATTGATGTTAAAAGAAGCCTAACCATTATTGGGGCCTAGAGAAAAGACCGATGGAGGAACAGTGAGGTTCTTGAGCTAACCCTTTCAAGTTAACAGTACTATCTCTATCGTTATTATTATTATTATTATTATTATTATTATTATTATTATTATTATTATTATTATTATTATTATTATTACCATCATCATTTTTGTCATCATCATTTTCATTATTGTTAAAATGATTATTTGATACCATTTAATTATTGATGGTTGAGTGTCAATTAGTCACTGTATTCTTAAATCATCTTTTTCTTGTGGAACAAGCCTGACTGATAAATATGTGGGATGCGGCAGCCATATGCAGTCGTAACTGCTATTTTTGAAATTATGAAACGATTAGGCAATCAACATCTTTCCATGCATATGGCATTGTCGTACTGAATATTATTTAAATAAATTTATACCTTTAGGAAAACCATTTTTAAAACATTGTTTGGATTTCACATTGGACCGGTTAATTTTAAAAAGGTTGATAGGTTTATTTTCTTAAGATGTTTCTTTGATTGTACTGTAAGTCTTGCCAGGCAGTTCCCTTTATAGAGAAATTCATTGGATGACTGTCTCTGGCTGACATTAATTGTAAACATCCTTATTTTTTTCTAGGCTCTACAGAACCTGTACAGATGTTATACGCCTTCGTTTGCGTTGCAGCAGAAATTGGTGCTGAACAATTTATCAAAATTATCTTCAACTCGTCCGCTGGAAGAGTAGTTTATGACCAATACAATGACAGCTCATTTCTTCCCGAAGCTATTGCCAGAGAGTATGGGCATGAGAAGATAGCTGTTTATCTTGAGGAGATAACTGGAAGGTATTCAGTTACACTTGACTTGGAATGAAGTGACTTAAATACGATTAAGATTGAAAAAAGATTGGGGCTATTCGTTGTGTTATTGAAGAAAACGTGGATCTATTATTGTATAAGGCTGTATAGCGAACCGCGGGTTGACATCAGCTGTTGAAGCGAGTTTTCTGCGTAAGAAGTGCGTAGATAAAATGATCTAACTAGGCGGCTACCCAGAGGTGGTACTAAGTTTTATTTTTATGGCTACGTACATGTACTGCCTCTTATGGAGACGGAGCCATAATATTTTCCTGTTGAGTGAGTGTCACAGTAGAAATGGAACGACCTCTAAGCCAGTGTAGGCGTCTTATTCGGGCGAGTTAACGTTAAGAAACGCACGATCGTTTATTCAAACGGCCACGCTTAACTTGGAATTAGAGTCGACGGTAGGGGAAGGGCGAAAAGACGCCTGCGTAATATTCACTCCACTACCACTACCCCTTCCTTACTTTTTCACTGTCACTCACTCCTCCTTGGTCCAGATTTCTTACTCTCTTAATCCTTCCACTTCCATTAAAATCAAAGATGACGGCCATAATTTTCGCCAAGAAAATACTAAGCACTCGCTCGCCAAAAGTACTCCTGCTCGGTAGGCTAAGCCACAACAAAGTCTGCCGAGTTTTACCTGATATTCCCCGCTCTTGACTTTTGTTTGTCTCGGAACATCTTCGGTCATTCAACGCTTAGAATTCCGATGTTTCTCGGTGAGCCCTGCAGAGTATTAAAAAGTATTACAGAAGACCATAAACATCTCACAATCATTTCAGGATGGCGCGTGAAAAAAAAGAAAAAAGCTTTTCTGTGAGAATTATCTTAAAGTTGTGAGGATATCAGGAGACACAAGTTTTTCAGTTCTCACCTTGACAGTACAAAAGACGATAAAGATCTCAAAGTAGTTTCACAGTGTCCGTTACACAATTGAAAACAAGACTCATCTTTGCAGAAATATCTAAAAAGTACGATTTGCACATCGATAAAACTTTGAAGAAAAGGTTTGTTTATTCGGAGAGCATTTTATCATTTTAACCAGCGACTTAAGGCGAAAAGGGCCTCTAAATTTTCAAAGCGACCTTAGTCCGAGGTCTAACGGACTGACCCGATTCGATGGAATCATGGCACGGTGAAACGGCAAAAAGGCGCAATGAAATAAGAAAAAAATTTATGCTTAACATGTAAAATTAATAGAAGCATAGTTTAATCATTATTGGCGCTTAGAGGATAGACCGAAAGAGGAACAGTGAGATTCCTGAGATAACCCCAATAAATTATCATTACTGTCATTATTATCATTATTATCATTATTATTATTATTATTATTATTATTATTATTATTATTATTATTATTATCAGTATGATTATTTGTTACACATAACTATTGGTTGAATAGCAATTAGTTACTATACTTTTTAATCATCCCTCTCTACGTGAGATGCAGCAGGTTTTCTGTTTTTCATGTTGAACAAATCCTCTGCGACAATTTGAAACATTCTTTAAAAGAAAAAGAAGAATGATTATATTGTGATGCTTTCGTATTTGTATTTGAAGCTTTAATTTACTCTTCCAAAAAATGTTTTTCACAAAATGGAGCTAAGTTATTGGTGGGAACATGGCAACGAGTAAAACACGAGTAAATTAGTAGAACGAAAAGCGTTCGTTGATCCCTGTGGGAGTTAGACTGCCGGTTTGAAAGATGAGCTTTTGTTCAAGAGTTTTACGGCTTTCCGTGCTACCTAAGTGTAAGGAGAGACCGCAGATTGCCATATGTTGCTTAGAATGATTGGATATATTAAAATGTCTAGCGACTGGTTTCGATGTGTCCTTGTCAATCCTTTCCACGTCTCGAAGGTGTTCTCGGAATCGGTCACCTAGTCTTCTGCCTGTTTCGCCGATGTATATCTTTTTGCAATAAGTGCAAGTTATGCAATAGATTACATTGGCGGAGGTGCACGTGAAGTGATCGGTGATCTGCACCTCCGCCAATGTAATCTATTGCATAACTTGCACTTATTGCAAAAAGATATACATCGGCGAAACAGGCAGAAGACTAGGTGACCGATTCCGAGAACACCTTCGAGACGTGGAAAGGATTGACAAGGACACATCGAAACCAGTCGCTAGACATTTTAATTTACCTAATCATTCTAAGCAACATATGGCAATCTGCGGTCTTTCCTTACACTTAGGTAGCACGGAAAGCCGTAAAACTCTTGAACAAAAGCTCATCTTTCAAACCGGCAGTCTAAATCCCACAGGGATCAACGAACGCTTTTCATTCCACTAATTTATTCGTGTTTTTCTCGTTGCCATGTTCCCACCAATAACGTAGCTCCATTTTCTGCCTTTAAAAGCACACACAACCCACAATTCCTCTATTCGCTCCGACGAAGGGCTAACGCTCGAAACGTCAGCTTTTGTAATCGTTACGGTGGCCAATTTACCATTTCAACTTTGTTGATATATCCAAATTATTTCGTTACCCCCACCGACGCAGCCCCAAACAGTTTCTTTAGAAACTATCAGCCTTTATTCATTGTTATTGTTAACCTTTTTGGGTGTTACGCAATATAAATAAATTTTTTAAAACATTTTTTTCCAACTTAGATTTTCTAAAGAGGCCAGTGACACCCCAAACTACCCCCAGACGATCGACTGGTCTGAGCTCATTAGAGCGGCAGAGGAAGCACAAAAGCAGCCCAGTGAGTGAACCGTTTCAGCACTGCTGATTTAGATTATGTCTTTGGATATGTATACAGCTTATAAGTTGTGAAGTGATGTTTATGCAGAAGGTGAGGTATGGGCAGTAACATATTTTTCTTATTAATTTTGTGCTTTTACCAAACAGGTCACAGCAGTGAAGGAAAGAGCGATCATCTGGAAAGAAATTTTATAAAGGACACTGGTTATTTGGGAGACATCGACACCTCGTCTAACGGATCTTGCGAGAGCGTAAGCTCCGAGTTTGAAGATGACATTCCTCTGGCGAGTTCTAAAGGTACCCTGTGATCATGATTTTTTTGTCATAAAAGTTAATAGACAGTAAATTTTTCCCACCATTATACTTATGGCTGTGATGGGAAACATTGGTGTAGAAAGAGTTTACACGTCTGTGCAGTTGAAAATGAAGAGAGCAAGGAATAACCCGTCCTACAGCTTAAGAAAACGCATAAGTATAGCCTTTCACTATTATCGTTCAAACATTTATTTATCTTTTTTAGCGCAGATTTTCTCCTTCTTTCCATTTTAAAAGCTGCATCGTTATGGATATGAAGACCCCTCTACGGTCCACAAGTGTTTGATTGTCAACAGTCGTAGTCATGGCTAATTTAGTTAACGCAGTGTATTGTTCTCCTTTTTTTCCGCAGTAGAATTGGATTACCTTGCAGATCAACTCAGCGAAGTTACTTTGGTATATAAAGATCAGGAATTTGGAGTCAAAGAGGCAACTTTGAACCAAAGGTTGATGTCGTTTAGCAAAACTGGACATTTTCACCGAGAGCAAGTAAATTCTACAGTGGCCAACAAAGTTGTGTTACCGACTAAAGAAGGATGGGTACTCTCCCTTTCTCAAGAAAGCTTCATTCTAGAAACCCACGGCCTGAGACACCTGAGAGGTCTCAATAGATGTGATATTTCCTTTTTCCTGGGCTCAGAAAAGGAAAGAATCCAATCTCATCTAATCACGGAGTATGAAAGGTGGTTTTTCCTGTTTAATTTCATAAAAGACAGCAGTTTACACAATCAAACGTTTGCATCAGGATGTGGACAATTTGTACAACAAATTAAACAGGAGATCCAAACTGTTATGATGGGGGCCTCCTCTGGCTGCGTTGAAGACATCCCTTGCATAAAATCAACCAGGGGTAAGGTACTGATCGTATGTATAATAACTCAGTCTAAGTTAACTTTGATAAAACATTTCCAATATAAAATAACGCATTTGATCGGCCTTCATCTCTTGAGTGTGTGATCCATTTGCCGAACTCCTGAACTTTGGTTTAATTATTATTATTTTTCCAGAACTCTTAACAACGTCAGATAATCCGGAGTTAGCTGTTCAATGGGACACGACTCAAGGGTCAACAAAATATTCTACTTCCAATGTATGGGTGTTGACTTGTTTGTACCGTCCAGCGAGGAATATTCTGTTTATATACGTAAGTATTTAACAAGTGTAAATTGGCGATATTTCACCAATTTTTCTCTCTTAAAAGAGAGGGAAATTTCAACTTTGTAGAATCTCTCTTTTTTTAAGTAGCTCGACTCTGATGATGACTTCCGCTCAGGTTGTTGAAACGTCAATCACTTCAACATTCCTTCTTAGGACCACCCCCACCAGGGCGATCAGACTACACGATCAGATCATGATCAGATGTTACCCGTAGGTTAAAACGTTTCACTGTAAAAGGGCTGTCTGCAGCTGCCTAAAGATGAACGACCAGTGTACCGACCATACACTTTCCCGTGAAAACTTTGTATTTAAGGGCTGGTAAATATACATTTAGCTTTAAAATTTCTCTTCTTTTCGTTTTTGAGGTTGCAGACAACAGTGATGTTTTCCCTCACAAAGTGTATTTCGATGATGACGAATACGAATTGTCAACCCAGCGCTGGCAGTGGCAGCGACACAGCAGCAGTTTATTTAATGTCCAAAATAGGCTACAAGAAATGCGGAAACTATCAGGTACTTCTTTCTTGGGGTTTACTTGGAGCTTTATGGGTCAGCTCGTGAAGAATCTCTGAATTGCTCCCAAGTTTTTTGACCCGATTCTAATTCTTTATTTTTTCCTAAATTAGTTCTTCAATTATAACAAGCTTATTAACACCGACAACGAGTCTTCTTATATGAGTTATTGTCCTTCTATTGTTAGAGCAAGTGAGACCAGAATTCGGCCCGACTCCTCTTCCTACGTGGAGTGCAAAGGTATGTTTGTTGTTTTTAGCTGGGGAGAGTAAGAATTTTGTTGACTTTGATAGGAATGTAGTACGCGTAGCATAAACCCGCTACCTGCTATATCATCATGTGCCTCGTTAAGGAGTCCAATCCCTGAACATTGAATTTTTTCTCCATGTGAACCGAAGTGTTGATCGCATTTTACAAAAATTAAAGCTTGCACCGTTGATAAGTCCTCCTTCTAAATGAATATTGGCACTCACAGTAAGTCGATTGTTACTTGAAGTGTTTTTCCATTTATGAGCTGTAAAGAAAGCGAAAGAGTCAATCATGTCTTTAGATGTAAGGTAATGAAATTACAATGAACTGCAGTAGGGATATGAACAATACGTTTCTTTACAGCAGATTTTGCCTCAAGTGCAAGGCAAGCACGTGTTACGTCAGCCTGAATGCTGTCCTACTTGGTTGTATA